ATGCACTTTCGGATATGCAACCAACGACTGAAATGAAATTGATATATCACTGAGTAACGAAGACGTGGAATCCGAAGATTTGCTGAAACAGTCAAAAACGATAAGATCAACGAGACGAACGTACTGAAGAACTGTTGTCATAAATATATACTGAAAAATAGGCAATTACCAAAACTCGGCTAGGCTCGGCCGCCATTGAAAGAAGCACTCGTTTCTTTGCTAATGTTAATTCGCGACATCGTATGCCGGGAATGCTTGACATTTTGCCAGAAGGCGTTGGTAGCGTTACTCCGCGCTCACTGGCTGGGCGACCTGGACCAGTGGCGGGTAGGGTGGTGGAACATGAGTGAGGGGTGGTTATCGCTGGGTGTCCAGATACCGCTCCGGAGGCAGGAACAGGGAATAGGATAGAGACAAGGATACTGGTCAGGGGTTCAAGGCAAAGACTGGGAACAGTGGTTGGGAAGTGGCGGGCGACGGGCGCCCAGAAGGCACTCTGGAGGAAGGAAGTGGAGACAGAGGAGGGGAACAAAGATACTAGTCAAGAGCCGGAGACAAGAACTGACAGCAGTAAAGAGAAAGAGACAACACAGCACTACAAAGACAAGTTAAAGCAAACCAGAGATTATGAAAAAAAAGCAAAATCAAAAAATCGAACCTATGAACAAAAAAAAAGGGAAAGCAAACAAAATCTGACCTTGTGCGAGTGGAAACTGTCTTACAAAAACCGGTCTTCAACAGGGGACTTCTCTCTTTACACAGCAATTCCACACAATTCCAACGTATTGTCTTCGGCAGCCTGCCACTGTGCACAATACTTATACTTCCGTTTCTTTTTTTTTGCCTCCAAAATCTCACAGAAGCAAAGGCTGATTCCATCCCCATGCATTCAGTGTACCACTCTTTTTCCTGACTTCATATCATATCCCATACAATGGAACTTATTCACTCTCAGCTTCACTTAATCACCAGCTTCATAAATAGGGAAGCCCCCACTGAAGATGAGTTTTTGTAAGACAATCCCATCCGCATAGGCTTAGTTTTTTTTTTTTGCGTTTATCCACAGGTTCAGTTTTTTTGCCTTTATTCATAAGCTCAGGTTTGCTTTACTTTTATCTGTAGTGCTGTGTTGTCTCTTCCCTTTTACTACTGTTTCCAGTTCTCGCCCCGAGCTCCTGGCTTGTATTCTCGTTCCCCTTCTCTACTTTGTTCCCAAATTCTGCCTGCAAAGCAACATCTGAGCTTTTCTCCACCCCCACTATAAGAGCACTGTGCAAGCGAGCAGTATTTCGGCCCTTTCTCACATGGGGTATCCAGTGCAAAAAACAGGAGCACACTTCCT